GAGGTTTTAATGTGGTGCTGTCACTATTACACCGGCCGTCGGTTTCGGATTTCAATCTTTCTTTTAATTGTCCGCACAGTCTCACTGGCGAAGCACACTTCATATAGAATATATATGTGCAAAAATTAAGATAGCTATTGTGATTTATTGGCATGGATACGAATCACTGAAAGCGATTTGTTCGCTACCGTTTCCTTTGTATCGTTTTGTTCACAACCAGCAAAATCTCGCTCCAATTCGAGAATCGTTGCACATCTGGTTTGCCATGTGATCCAAGGAATGAGGATTCACGGGTCATTACGCTTTTTCATGCTGAGGAGGTGGGGCAAATCGAATTTGCAAAAATATCTAACACATTTGTTGACCTTAGCAACGCTAAATGTTATCGATCACGAATAAATCGTCTCATGGAACATCCCAGTGATAGTGGCCGAGGTAGAGTGGGGGGGGGGAGGAGACAGGATTTTTGACGAAATTGGTGGGATCATTGTTACTGAAGTTGTTCGAGGTTGGACCGATTTGGTACACACAACTAACACACGTGACCAAAATGATGCCAACAATTTGAGTAGGCATAGTTAATTGTGGCTGGAACACAGGGTACAGAAACAAACGCACGCGAATGGATCGATGGAAGCAGCCTAGATTTGGATCTGCATGTTACGGGGTCAAACGTTAAACGAAACGGAACAGCATGATGCGTGAGCCACGAGTTAGCAACTGATTGCGAATAATTCCCGGGTTAAAAGTGGATGAAAATAATTGCACCAATGCTCACATAAATAGGGTTGATGAAAAGATCAGAACATTAGGCAAAATACTACGGATGGTGTTGGCATGGTCCACAGAAAAATGAACCATTGGATCAAAATTATCAGTCGTTCACATCTCCAAGTATGTGTGTTTATGTCACGGATAGAAAAGATCAGCAATGGTTCAACACCGTAGGAAACTGTTTGTCACAAGGAATTTCTCTTATATATATATATATATATACATATATATAAATACATATATACATGCATATATATATGATTCGCAAGGTTTGCTTCAAACTTGCCAAGTTTTCTTTCTGTTCCAAGGCTTCATTGAAGATTGTTTATTTGAATAAAAAGGAGCGTACCGAATTTTGAGCTTTACACGTTGACATTTTTCCCGTTTAATTGAGCTTAGTGTCGGGTTTCTATTTAGGACTCTATCCAAAACCACTGAGCATTTAATTGAGTATAGATAGTTTACATACCTTTTGGGATAAATATATATTGTGACGTGAAATATTTAACTATGAAAGAATTGATTTGTGAAAATGGTTTGTTGAATTTGTACACGGTGAAGCTGCTTGCGGTTGTGAGATTGAAAACTTGTATGCGTTCGTAGTCAGCAACTACGTTAGGTGGTTTCGAGGTAGAGTTTTTTCTTATCTAGACCAGTTATTCATACACGGTTGCAGAGATCCAAATGATGGGTATTGATGTCTGTTGTCTCAACAAACTTAAGCACGAATCGCAGAACAATTGTCAAAGTTGTACTGAACTCTCCCGCCTGAACAATAACAACGATGCTCGATGACAGGAATAACTTGCATTTCGAGCTGGGTGATAGCATCAACGGGAATCCGTTATGTTTGCTCTCCTAAACCCGAACCGAAGAATGCAACAGTATGTTCACTGTTCTGTTGGTACGGTCGATCTAATGTGCGTGTGTGTAGAACGGGCGAGAGGAGGGGAGTCACGACTGCATTCATCCATTTGTATTCAACTGCTGTGTGCTGTTCTCACACTCAGCTAATACGAGAAGAGTTGGTCTGTTGCATAAACTTTCCCGTATTATACATATATATATATATATGATGAGTTCGTTTTGTAATTTGGGTGTGAGCTGAAAGGCTTGAAAGCTCTGGACAGAGTGTTTCGACCTGGTTGGGTATCATCAGCAGTGCCAATCCATCTACCCAAGTGAGGATCGAACCCATGACCCGACAGTTCTATCGTAGACAAACTGTCCAATTGGGTACCCGGTAGGTCACCAGACCGTTCCTCATTTGGAATATACACTGTATGGCACAATCCCCCAGTTCGGTCGATGGATCGGCACTGATGATGAGACCAAACCAGTTCCAAACAGCTGTCCATTGCTTCCAAGCTTCTCATCTTATGTCGTATTTACACGACAAATTCATCATCCAATAAAATAAAATCCCGCATTTCCCTCAGATAACATAAATATCCGTCGTAAACAACGTTAGCTTCAAATTCCGTTGTTCTGTTGGGGAATGGTGAAACGAACAAACACGAGCGTAGCGAATTCCGAGTTCTACACGTCATCTTTGGATCGATTTAATTGAATTCGTTGTGTGCTTTATACACCTTTTTTTCATCATGCTTTAACCAAAACTCGCAGTACTTTAGCCACGACCCATACCCTCTTAGCCTTGACACACAAAATTTAGCCACGCCACTTTGGGCGACTCTGACGAAAACTGATTAGAATATTCTGAGTTGAACGAATGTTGAAACAATTTATTTTCTACAAATGTTGATAGTACCAAGCTTATTTAAACAATAAGGTGTGGTCGTCACACACTAGACCACTTGTTGTTTGGATAGAATTTACATGATATGCCAGTATCATCAAAACATTAGAGACATCTACAGTTTCAGTGTTTCCGTATGAAATGCGATAGTCTGTTAAATGAAAGTTTCCAATGTAACAGAAACACTATATATATTTTTGCGTTCACAGGTTCTGAAATAAATTAAAAAGTGATACCATAAAAATGTGAACACTTTCTATTTCGCACCCCCATTTTGAAGGATCTCTGTTCTCAACATGTGAATATAGTACTAGGCAGAGGATAATAAACGATTCTCTCAAAATACACCACTTATCATACACATTTTTCGATCACGCTTCAGACGAAACGCGTAATTCTGGAGCCTCGACCGTGGTAATTAGGACAAATTTTGTACCGTTCTGATCATAGCAATGGAACTGCATCTTTATTAACTGTGTTTATTATCCTCGGCCTGGTAATGTATACACATCTCAAGAGCGGAATTCAATTTGAGTGAATATACAGAACGGATAGCATTTCCTTTTTGTCGTATCTGTTTTTGATTTATTTCAGGGTTTGGGAATGAAAAGCAAGATACCGTTTGTGTTACATTTGAGACTTTAACTCACAGGGGTATCGCATTTTAGGCGGACATACTGAAGCTGTACGAGATGTGTCAAATGTGTTAACAATAAGGGCACATCGTTTACATCCTCGCCAATCAACATACGGCACAGAGTGCAACCGGAAAACTTCCTTTTGTCTAAACAAGCTTAACACTGGCAAAAGTTGTAGGAAATAAGTTTTGCAACATTCGTAGACGTCAGAATACTTCTATACATTTTAATCTGACTCATCTTCAGTGGTGTATCTGAAGTTTGTTCGTCTAGACCATAGGATTTCAGGCAGCGTCTAAAGGATTCCGGGTTCTGGCTAATGAAATGTGGGTTCAGGCTAAAGAATTGTGGGTCCAGGCTAGAGCATTGTGATTTTTGGTTAACGGATGACGGGTCGAGGCTAAAGGACTGCGGGCTTTTGGATAACGCTTGATGTGTAAAGGTGCAATTCGGATTCTACTTAGCAGTAGCTGCATAGTAGCTAAATAGCTATATTCTGTTCACTTCGATTGATTGGAAAATATTACTCATAAGCCAAATGATGAGTGGGATCAGGTTATGGTTTAAAACACTTGGATAGAAGAGCAATTAACAGAGGTTTGTTGAATATGTTATGCGGTGAAGCTAGTCGCAATTGTAAGATCAAAAATTTGTGTGCGTCCACAGTCAGGTAGAGTGGTTTGGAGACGTAGAGACATTGCTCATCAATTGAGATGTGGATCGACGAATCATGCACGGCTGCATAGTTTCGGAAGGTAGATGTTGAAGTTAAGTGTCTCAGCTTATTGAAGCACAAATCGTGAAATAATTATCAGAGTGTGACTCAATTCCCCTCTCACCCTCACATTTGATGACTTACGTGAATTGCGTTTAGAGCTAAGTGAAATCATCAATCGGAATCTGTTCTGATTGCTCTCACTACCCCGAACCGAAGTACGTTTCCTGATACTTTTACGTAACGACATGTTTGCCGATCTTATAGTACGGCAGATTTGATGTCTGTGTGTGTAGAACGGGGTTGAGGTCCACAAACGACTGCACTCATGTACTTCTGTTCAACTATTTTGTGCTTTTCTGTGTTGGTACTCACGTTCCCAATAACCGTAGAGTTCATATGTGCAATTTTCACATATTTTCCGAATTTTGGCCTCCATTTTCCAGCAAACCGAATTCTTCCAAGCTGATCGCAGTTGTCTTGGTCGCACCGGTTTCAAACAGATAACGGCCACTAGATGTCGTCAAATATTATTACTTGATAATCTGCGTGAACCATTGGATCTGAATATGTCATTGGTAAAGGTCGGTTGACGAATCGCAATCCGTGAGATGATGTACAGTGTGGACAGAAAAATTTTCAAAAGGAGTCCTATGAAGATCACATACTTTTACAAGATGGTAAATAGGCAGCTGAAAACACATGATGGATGTTTTGTAAATAAACTAGAAACAATCTCACATAAGCGATGGAGAATGAGAGAAAATGTTATGAGAACGATGAATAAATTGTGTGTGTTTCAATTGTTAGAAATCAAAAACTCCGTCGATTTCTTGCCAGTAAGCAAGAGCACTCCTTCAAATTACCGTGCCTGAAATAACATTTATGTTTGCACCATTGCGTGCTTGACAAACAACAACCGGGTACCAACTTAAAACATTTCTATCATAAACTACTCATTTTTCCCATTTTTCAACCAATCTGATTACAGTAAAACCGTTTCCTCTAATTGGTTGGTCCAATGAATTGGGCGACAGCAAGTGAGATAGAGTCCAAATCAACGGCAGAACAAACATACAACGCGAGTTTTGTCATAGCACAGTGTAAGGAAAACATGACTACACGACGCCTAAGTATGGTCCCACGTGAATCCCTCTTCACTGAAGGACCCGAAGGTCGCCGTTTGGAAACCATGAATTCCGATAATTGTTTACTGAATTTTTTCGACCCAGAAAAGATGCGTTTTCGAAATCTCTCGGCATGTCAGTTTGCAGATGTTTGGAATCATTTTGATCGGGACGGTAAGTCCGTCAGATCCAGTGTAATCGAATTGTTTCAAAGCTAATTGAAGTGTAAATCATTCAGAATTTTCGCCTCACATTGAAGCTTTATTTTGTTTTTATTTTGAAGTTTTCTATTTTAGTCCCACACTTACTTTGGATTACCAAACCGCACCTCGATGCATTAATGCCAGTGAATAAGAGTTTCACCTCTTGTAAACCAGCGATGACAGTTTGATTAGACAATAGGAACTCCGAATTGATGATATGGTGGGAGAAAAAAACCTCAGCGGAATCTTTATCATTTTTTTCTTTAGAGAGTTTTGGGAAATAGAAAGCTGACGCATAACGCACAAGGGGGGAGTGAAGCGGTGATAGTGTTTATTTGGTGACGTAACCACCGGACCACCACGAATCGGAAAGATAGTGCTCAACAGTAGGACTAATAAGTGCTGATTTCTCTCGCTCTCAATCGAACTAGAACTTTACGGGTAATCGATCACTGTTTCATCAGTGGTACGAATCCATCGAACGATCAGGGGATCGAACCCGGGACCTCACAGGTAGAATGCGAGAATGCTTCTGTGAAATTGAATCAAATCCTGCCCTACTCACTTACAACCGATTGCCGTTATTTGGGAAATTCGGTATATTTTAAAGAACGCAGACTCGTGGATAAAACACAATGCTGCTTCTGAATGTTTCCAAGTAGTGCTTCTTTTGAAAAATTTTTGGTGTTCGATAAAACGTTCTGGACACCATACGGCATAAAACTATTGTTTCATAAGATCTGGGCTGTATTTCATTGTTTCTTTTTTCTTTTTTTGGTTGATACAGCATTGTCACCCCTCGACCAGTTGATAGCAATAACAATTGGTTCGAAAATATTTTGCACCATGGTACTTGTTGCTGCCCGATTGAGGCTAGCCGCACTCATCCCTGGCACAACCATTAACTGATGATTTTGATTTAGTCAGCTTCATTTGGCAAATAAGTAAATTTCGTTTTCCATTTTGTTCACAATTCGTTCTACCCTACCTTAGTTACAATTCGTTTTCGGATTGTGTTCTGCCAGTTCAGTCCTGTTGAAATAAAGCTCAATTGAATTTGGTTATCGTCCGATTCATCAAACAGGTTATGTAAAAGCGGAAAAGTGAGGAAATTTCTTTTCCATAGTTCGTCAGCAGCATGTATACATAGTTCAACCATTGAATCAGAGTATTAAATGGTATAAGTTGGTTTTGGATGGATGCTAGTCTGAAATGTTCCTGTATCGATAAGCCATGAGTTCATGTAAACAGGAAAAGCAAATAGAAAATGCTCATATTGCGTACGATGGGACGAGTGTTGACCAAAAATAGAGAAATCACATGTAACCTATAGAGAAGTCAATAAATCAGAGGGAAAGTAAAGAGAAATCTTTGCAGAGACATGTGGAAAAATCGTTTTCAGGACTACGAAAAGAGCAGCGCTTGAACCAAGTCACGTTGCTTGCACAACTACGGTTCCACACTCCTAAGTACAAGGACTTTCGCAGTTGTTACGTAATCCGTTGTGGTGATTCTTGTATACTGTGCAGTTACTTGTGAAAAATGTGTCCGAATCAACTGCATGTCTACGGTGGACAAGGTTTAGTAGAATTGCGCTTTACAGCTTCATCACTCGAACAGCGGCCTCCTTAAATGTCCATTATAAAACCAATACTAAAAATTCGCGTTACCAAATGCTTAAAATCAATGAGATCATTTATCTGTAAGTAGTGGAACAACGAACAGCTTGGTCTTCAATGCCGCTCTAAAACAGGTGCGAAAGAAAAGCTGACCATGAACTTTGAGAGGCGATGATCCAGACTTTCTACGGAATCCTCCTCCCATTAAAACTTCTTTTTTGTTAGACATCTGTTGTTTTAAGCCGTTAGAATAAAGTCCCCGGGTATCTGAAGCCCAAAAGCCGTTCTCTCCACGGAACATGCCTCCACCTGGTCAGCATATTAACACAAATAATTGGGTTGCTATTACGTAGATTAACTGTGAGGAAATCAGATGAATATAGTTGAAGAGTATATATGTAAAAACGTGTAAAGATTAATACATACATAGAGTCTGATTATACTTCGGGTGAAGCCCGAAGCCCCAAATTTGCACTGATGATGTGACCTAGCCTGGCTACGAAAGGTCTGCGAACAACACATACAGCTCGGAGAACAGACCAAAAGCAATATGCGCATCGCGAGTTCCAATCATTCTACATTGCTTTCAAATATTTGCTCGGTGATATTTACTGAAATATGCTGTGTCCATCATAGAAAATGAATCATTCAACATAAGAGCCTGATTGTACATTTATAGACGTGCATCTAGTCAAAAATGTGTGGGTTTCGGTGCATTCGCACGCGTGGGTTAACCACTTCATGAGCTCTGGTTGGATTCATATCCCCATGGAATCAACCATCAATGCAAAAATCAGAAGTAAACTTTGATCTGATCCAATATTTTACTCATTTTATCTATTAATGAGCGTCATTTTGGGGAAATTACCTGGTTGGAATATTGGGTTATTTGGACATTTGGTAGCAAATCTCAATTTTAGTTTTAGATAAACTAGTCTCGTACACATAGAACTTTGATTTGTTAGTTTTGTGACAGTGATCACCAAAGGTCGGATCGGGTTTGCGGTTGTCAGATTAATCTCGCTGATCGGAGCGAAATTAAGTTCATACAGTATATCGCACTGGGTTAGCTGTGCAAACGGATAAAAAATTCGCGCGATTCATTCACCCGGGTTATTGTGTAAGGTGTTGTATCCCCCAATAGATCGATAACTGAGGTCTCACTGACGTGCCTGTGCGAATGATTGAATGAAAATCACAAATTTCCATGTTAGAGAGCTGACGAAATTTGACAGTTCATTGGATTAGTTAAACAGGACCTTGGTTTAACGATATCCTCACTTCTACTTTATGAATCACGTAATAGCCTCACGTGGGGAGCTTAATCAATCAGTTACTACGGTTATGACTAATAGTGAATGTGACCAACGTTGACTATAAGAACATATCTTTCGGTTTCAGAATGTAACAATAAAAATAAAAACAAACGAACGAACGTCTGGGTGTGTACAGGCACTGTGATACTGATTTCTCTCGATCGATGCGGGTTAGTGGGAGATGGGCGGTACATGCATAGCCTAGGTATTTTCAACTATAGCTTGGTTCTGTAGTGGTGAAACTAGGAATTCCACCTGGGCCGTTTCATAATATAACTTTTTGGTGTGTGCCTTAAGTCCATATTTTCCTGAATACATCGGTCTTCTTTAGTAAAATTCAGTTAACGAAAGAGATACCGTAGAGAAACTATACAAACAGCTTTTAAAGGTAATTTACTTCACAATCGAGTGTTATGCTACCCAGCTCGACCAATTTTGTAATTGAAAGCAATCTTCACTGCGTGAAAAGCATTTCAAAGATATTCTTTTCAACTCAACCTGTCCACTGTGCATGAACGTCCGCGGAGTCTACGTATTCTTCAACCACGTTGCTCTCCTCCAAAAAACCTGCATATCACATATCAGTTCTATCCCAAGTTGAGAGAGAGCTCCACTAAGACTGCCTTTCTCTCCTTGAAATAACGAAGCTAGTTGAGCCAGAACATCAAACGTGTTGTACTCCACTTTCACCATCTTCAATGACCTATACACATTCAGTGATAGATAGGCTGGTGTTGAATGCATCATCCCTCCGAATAAACGAAGCCGCTTTTCGTTGAAAATGGAACTGAAACTTTTATGGATGCCCTTAATAGTTCAATAGAGAACTGATAGTTTGTACAGTACAATTATATGTTGATTGCTTCGTATCCAACCAAATACTCGTTCAATATACCAAATCATGTGAGGCACATTAGTCGTTCAGTTTTCAAACAATAAGCAATCCGAATAATTGGATTCAATATTTTATTCATTAGTTTTACTGATTTCCGTATATCCGGTTACATCCAAAAACGCAATTTTGAGTGTAGAATGGGACGCACCTGATATGATGAAATGAAAAGGTTTGATGCTATGCGTCAGAACAGATATCAAATGCACGACATCCGGATGCTGACGAGCACCGTTTGACGGCGCTAACGCTTTAATCCATGAAACTCCGGCAACATTATACTCATTTTGGTTTGATAATAAATGACTGGGTCTGTGAGGAAGAGAGTTTATCAAACCGTTCTAAGTAGTCCCATTTGAGTCAAACAGTTATCGCACAACAACGGAATGCGTTTCAAGATTTCAACCGTCGCCAACATGGTCTTTCTGGAAAGATTTCCGATTAATCAACCGGGTCAAGACGGCCGATCGATAAACTATCAAAATGAATGGACGGGGTAATACGGCGCGTTTAAAGAGTTCCACAGTTCCGGAAACGGAATCGACAAGCTTTTCCAGAAATTTCGAAGTCATACAACCATTGAGATTTACTGATTCATCGAAATTCATTAATGAACCATAAGCGTCATTAAGCAGATAGCAAATTGAATGTGAACTGGAATATTGGAAGGCGGTGCACACCTGGTCGAACGTGGTTCGTTCACATCAGCGGTGTGAGCAAATCTATCGGTCCAGTCGGGAATCCGAACATACGCCTCACAGTTAGTTCACCGTAGTAGACAAAATAGATGTGATGCAAAAACTTCGATTGAGAATCGCAATCGACACAAAGTTGCAGGGAAAAGCTGACAGAAGTAGTGATTCATTTATGGTAGAAAACCAATGGGCTTCAATGATATGTTGAGTGAAATATCATTGGCTACACAGGCATTGGCCAATCGGCTTTCGTGTTTGTCTTGTGACAGGGCTCCTCCCTAGGGCCTCTTTGTTGGTCCAGATAGTTGGTCCCTGATTTGCTGTCCTGACAGGTAGGAGCACTGAGGGATGAATGGCCAAAAGTAGTACTTTTTTTGGTAAAGAGTAACACTGGATTGATAAACAGCCAAATGGGTTCCGATATTAATGTGGTAGCTCTAAGTTTTCTA